TCCACAAAATGTTTCCATAGTTCCATGGATGGGAGACTGGGACTGCCTCTATGTATATATATATATATATATATATATATATATATATATATATATATATACACACATAACCCCTGCACTATGCATTGGGAGGTACAAGTACCTTGCTCAGTAGGGAGGCACATACCTCCCTTCCTTTGTAAATTAACTCTCTGGATCATCTTGCACTGTAATTGTCCTTGGAAGTTGGGGAGGTGTTAGGTGGAAATTTTTCAGGCATTGTGTGATTTACTTTTTTGTTTGGTTAAGTACTTGAGAGAAGAAGTAGTAACTGAAATTCAGAATAGAAGTGATGACTTCATTTCACACCCACAATGGCAGAACTATGAAAATGTGTAACGTTTGCCACTTCTTTAAGTGGTTGTCAGGTAATCAGACAGGTTTAATCTGTGTTTTAGATGAGAAATTGTCTTACAGTCCAGAATCTTAGGAGAATATGGGCATAAATTTTGGCTTGAGGGAGATTGATTTCACATTGATCTAAGCAGTTGTTTCCATGTTTACAGTATATTAACAGAAGTAGAAAATATGGCTCTGGATGGAGCCTTCTACATTCCACTTTCTGGAAGAGTGAAGGTGACATCAGGATAGCTATTAAATGTATGCTCCATCCGGAAGAAAGGCATAAAGAATCTTAGTAGAATAAAAATTGTATTCCTGACCTAACATGAACTTTTGTGGTTTGTAAAGCAGTTAGATAAAAAGTTCTTTTTTCCAAAATACATAAAGATCTGTTAATGAAGATACGTAATTGTTTAATCATCAATAGTATTTATTCCAAATTTAGGTATCTAAAAAGTGAACTAAATCCAATTCCTAGCTACATTAATTTTTTTTGTAGGAGTTATAAGGGGGAGGATGTTTCTAAGGTAACCTACCAAAAAATAAGTTTATTTTTAAAATAAAGGAAATTGAATTTCTAGACCAGGCTGTAACTTCTAGTAAGACAAAGCTGAAAACCAGTGCCCTGAGGCTTAGCTGTATTACATTGCATATGTTACCTGTATTATTTTCTTGGAATACTATTTATGGGAATACATTGAATCAGGAGATTTTTCCCTGAATTACGTGAGTAAAAATATTTTTACAAGACCTTTTAAAACACAGTAAAAATAGCATATTGTTTAGATCAGTAATATCAGTTCAGGGTGTTTTTAACCTGCTTTTGGCTCTTTATGATTTTTGGATGATATATGATTATTTATAGCAAAATGTATCTGCTGGTGAGAAGGAGGTTCAGGAATGCAGGGCTGAGGTTTTGGATTGTCTCTGGAAGAGTGGAAAATTTCCAAATAGTTTTATATTAATAAATATTTGAGATGTGTGTCACATCTTCATTTTGATGACATCCAAATATCATATCAAAGTTTTGTATGGTCTAGTGGTCTTATATAAATGGTGTAAATTAATGTGTGCATTGTAAAAAGTACCTGCAGTTCATGGCACCTGTAACTCATGAGATCTAAAGCATTATCATTTACTTCTTTAATACTCTAATTAAAATACTAAATTAAAAATATATTGATTGCTTTATTTTATATGTGTATTAATAGGTGTAACTCTTTGTATGCCTCCATCCCTAAGGAAGAGTTTGATTGAAGCAACTGTTCTGTTTGGTCATGACATAGGTGGTTTTCTGCTTTCTAGTACAGTACATTATTTCCTGGTTCTCTTCAGTATGCTAAATATTTTTGGTAGATTTTGGTGGCTTTGATCTGATAGAAGTCAGCTGCATGTGCTTGCAAACACAATGCACCAGATTGCCAGAGTGATGTACCACGTCCCTGTTTCATTCTGTCCTAGCTGAGGTTCTTAAAGGACCTGGCTCGTGACTTCTGAGAACTGAAAAGCCACTTTCCAGGAGTCACACCTTTAAGAAAGTCTTATTTTGACCAACTCAGAATGTAAGCTACTACAGTCACAGCTTACTCTTAAAAACCTAATTTGTGTTTTCCTGACCTAAGGTAACATTTTAAAATGTTTTAGTCCCCTTACCAGCTGGAGCAAAGCTGAATTCTGTGTTCTTTGAATTATCCTGTCTCTTCTTCATGACAGGAATTGCCAACTGCAGCTGTCACCCCAAGGACAGTGCAGCCCCAGAGCAGGTGCTGCAGGGCAGGCAGAGTCCAAAGGCCACAGCAGGGCCTGCTTGCCATTGAGGTGGCCACAATGTGGCCGTGGTGGGAGGGAAGGAGTGACAAGCATTGGGATTCATAGCAATGAGTTGTAAGGATTGAGGGGAGCAGAGTGATTGTTGGAAGGCTGGTCAGGCAAAAGGAGCTTGATTGCAGGGGTTGAAGCTGGCATGGTAACTGCTGTCTGGATGTTGTCCTGGGATGGAGAGGGGGCTGGCATCCAGATACGTTTGCCATGTGCAGAATCCTCCTCTGTGCTTGCAATGGGGGGGCTTTGTGCAAGTGAGCAGAAAAAATACTGAGGAGCTTACAGCAGACAAGAGAAGGGTTAAAAACAAGTGTGAAAGTTGGATCATGGTACTTGGCACCTTGAAATGAAACAGGATTTTTCTGGAAGGCTTTAGTCACCTGGGAAGGAAGGATCGAGTAGCTAGCTGTGTGGGAGGCAATTTGCAATCAAGTGTACTCCTCTGCAGTAGATTGGTACATTTTAATGAGGGAAGTATATTTGCTCTGTTTTATATGATTTGCTTAGGACTAGAAGTCTGGAAGTCATTTTAAATAGACTGCTTTGAGACATAATGGTCAGGTGGAAATATTTGAAGCATATGATATGGAAATCCTGTATTTACAAAATATTTGTAGGTTCTCAAGAAGCTGAGCTGAAATGATTGCCTCTTTTTCAGAAGAGATTTTTAAGAGTAAATAAAGTTCATACAGAGGATGTAAAGGCAGTAGTGAGGAACTACTATAGCTATGCAACTTTATTTGTTTGCTTATTTACTTCATATATTTTCAGCTGATCTCTTAATCCATGCTATCCTTCAGAAAAAGATACCTTTACACTGACCTCCTCCTCATCCCTTCCCCTTCCTGTAAGCTCTGTGGGGCTGAAAGGGAGTGGTTTTTACATGTTTATTCCCCTTAGAGATGGCTTTTGGGGTGGGTGGGAATTCTCACCCCTGGATGGGGAGGAGGGAAAGACAGCCACACTGTGCTCAGACCCCACACCTGTAGCAGTGAGTGCCTGTGGGAGGAAGGGCTGAGTTGGACCCTGCTCCCATCTGAGAGGATGGAGAGCTGACTCCTTCTGCCTCAGGACCTGAGTTCGCTCCATCCACTGAAAAGGCAGTGCTTTTCTCTGGCCAAAAATGCCAGCAAGTGGGAGGCATTCAGCTGATGCCCCAGGTATCAATCAAGCATAAGCTTCATATTTGAGGAATGTTCCATGGTTTCTGGTATTTATCATTTTGACTTTTCCCGTTGTTGTAGTCGTTTTCTCTGTTATGTGTGTCCGCTTTCTCCTTCTACTTTAGTTTGATATCTTGTCCTTTCTTCAGCTTGCTTTTGCTTTTTTCCTGCTGTAGGAACAGGGAGTTTGTAATAGCTGTAGCATCACTTCAAAAGGTGGATCTGCAGTGTTTAAAACAGTAATTACATAAGTAATTAAAATAACAAAGACTAAATAAACATGTCCTCACCAACTGGAGAAATAAATTTCAAGGGCAGTATATCTGTCTATATATAGTGTTGCTTCCTCTCTTCATCCAAGACTTTCTGCAAAGGTTTCTCATGCCTGCTTTAATATCTTCTCTTCTCTAACATTTTCAAAACTTCTTAAATAATGGAATTTTTTCTCTCTCTGTATTGTTCATGGTATAGTTGGGGGGGGGAAAGGCATCCTGAAAAGATGTGGGGAGAGACAGGCAAGCAATTTCAGAAAAGTTTCAGAATTTAGATGTTTATGCAAAATTTTGACAGGATCATGAAGTGAATAGTGGTATTACACCCATTTTACACAGAGCCAAATTGAACTGTAGAAAAGCAATTTGTTAGGTTTCACAAATTTGTGACTAACCAAAGGACTGCTGATTTATTAGCAGTGTTGAGGTGTTAAGAAAACAACTTCTGTGTTTGAGTTGATATATTGCTTTAACAATTTTGTTCAAGGGAGGAAAGAGCCATATAATAAAGGAAATACTAATTCATCTAAACATTCTTCATTTGAATTTAGAACGATGTAGCTGGAAAAACTCCATTACAGTGTCATTTACCGGTTATGATAAAGCATAAAATGGACTCCCAGCTTTAAAACAAGCTGGATCCTTGAGTCTCTAGAGCTGGGGCTGGAGAAAAGAAGGAGCCTACCTCTCTGCCCATGTGTGCTGTGGCTTCACTGGCACAAAAGACAGCTTTGGTTCCTCTTTCAAATAATTCTGAATTAAGCTTGCTGGCAGACATTTCTGGATTGGGTAGCCTGGGATAGCTGCTAGGAAAAGTACATTGTGCCAGGCAGCTTTTGGAGGATGCTGTGTTGAGCAAAGACTCTGAAAGTCTTGCAATCACGTTATTATATTGCTTGAGAAAATACCAAGTAGCTGAAAGTTGTGTTTTTCAGGAAACATTGCGCAATCTTTTTAAAGTTACAGGCTGGTTCTTTCTCTGGAAAGCTAATGTTTATAAGCTGAGCGGCTTTTTGCATCACTTCTATGCCTTTTCCATGACAGAAGCATAAATTCAGTTTAAAATGAAGTGAACATGCTTCTAGGTAACTTTTGTACTTACAGTAAATTTTACATATGGACTGGCATGAATTTTAAAAGACAGTTTTCATTATATATTATGTGCTGGAAACTCTCAGCAGTCATATGTTTTGTATATTTTATTGCAACTTTGCTAATAAATGCTTATAGCTTTTCTTCTGTAAGTGTATAATCTATCATTTTGCAAAGCATAAAGCGTGAAGGTTGGGGGAAGGAACAGCACAGACTGGGGATTTAAAAAATTGAGAAATGTTCTCTGATTTATTGCATTTCCAATTTTCAGGAGTTCTTTGAACATGCAAAAAAGCTCTGGGATGATGAAGGTGTAAAGGCGTGCTTCGAGAGGTCAAACGAATATCAGCTGATTGACTGTGCACAGTAGTAAGTATTTCTTTTTATGAAATCTATAGCCAAGAATGTGATAGTCTATAACAAGTTAGAAAATATATCAGTAAGATTCAGGAGTTTTGCAGTGTAGGAATTAATATTTTCTTTCTTTGTATAGGTGGAGCAAAATTAATTTATTATCATAGTTTGCCATTATTATAACTAAATATTCTGCCTCAAATATTTCACATCTAATAAGGAAAAGTATAAAAAAATCAAATAACTTTAAGTATCTTTATTCCACTCAAAATTGATTTACATAAAATCATTTCAGTTGAAAATATTAAGTTGGAAAAATGTTGAGTCAATCAAAGGAGAATCCTTTGTTTAAAATTCTGAGACACAGACAGTGCTGAAATTGCTCTGTCTTTTCACATTCCATAAAAATTTCTGAGACATTTACATAACCAAATGCATACCTGCATTACTAATATATTTTCTAGGTGGGAAAAATTATAAGCAGTATTTAATTAAAGGCAGTGGTACATTTGGTATTCTGTCCTTCAAAGTGAAGTGGTACACATATATATAACACAGTCAAAATCTGTAAACAGATTCAGTCTGGTCAGAAATGTTCTGAGAAGTCTAGTAGGTTGTGAAGGTGCAAATCATAAATACATAGTACAGTGATGAAAACCTATTAATCAAAAAATAGTCTGTTAACATTACAAATGCTACAAACTCAGCTGTCCTTGATAGTAACACAGGTCTGAGTTAGATTTCCATCGAAAATATACATTTCATGTGAACCACTATTGCGAGAATATGTACTCATGCAGTTGCTATGTGATTTCGGGTTGCCAGAGAGCACGCTCCAGTGTGTTATGATTTATCTAATTGGCAGTGTGGTCAGCAGCAATGCCACAAGTCTGTTCTTGCACTCAGTGTTTTGCTTTTCCCTCCTCTCTGCTCTTGGTGCCGAGCATGAAGAAGAGGAGTAGGTCCATGTCACTAAAGGACTTGTGCTTCTGCCACAGTGGGGAATTTCGGTGCTGCGGGTCATAGTTTGTTTTCCCTCTTTCCAGACCATTTTTGGGAAAAAATGATTCATCAGCACATGGAAGTGAGGAAAAATTAGATACGTGTATGAAGGAACTCATTTGACCTCAGTGCATTTACCAAAACCTGGGCATTTGCTCACAGTCCAGTGTAGCTGGAAATTAAAGCAGTGGTTGTACACAGAGAGACTTAGACAGCTGTCCTCGGTTGTAATCAGTGGGTTTCCTCTCTGCCCTCACTCACCACCACCACAGTAGTACAGATCGGAGTTGTGCTTGCTGAAAAGTGCAGACTGACTGTTTTATCATATTTATTCACACAGTAAAACATCAGACCAAGAATACAGAGTAACAGTACGTATTTAAAATACATGAGTGTCAACCCTGCTTCGGTGATCAGTAAGGGTCACACAATCCTACTTTGAAAAATGGTGCTGAAAGGGCCAGACAAAACCAGGAATACTCCAAATTATTGTGCTAATGGTAGTGTGTTTTCCCTTTAAAAAAATTATGCCTATCTACAGGCTCTGACAGGAAGAATGTTAGGTCTCACGTTGTGTCCAAAACCAAAACACAAATGAGGAAAAAAATTGGATCTAGAATTAAATCTTGGAACAGAAAACTAAATCATCCTACCTTTTTTCTGTGAAAGGTTAAGGCAAGTTTAATAGGGTTTTTCTATGTTTCTTCCGTCAATAACTTCTAACTGGCTTGCTTTTCCTTTATTTTTGTTATAGTAATGAGTGTATTTGCATAATTTATTTGTTACAGTAATGAGTGTATTTGCATAATTCTTCACCTTCAAGACCCTTTATGAAGTACAATTTGATATTTAAATATTCCTTGAGTGTATGTGTGCTTTTCATGTCATGATCTACCTGAAAATATAACAGCTGAGTGGCTTATCCTTGTTTACACACCTTCAGTCTTAGAGCAGGAACTTGAAATTCAGGTACAGCTGTGTCAGTGATCTGATCAAATAGCCTTTTTCTCACAGGTATTGATGATTTCAAACACTAAAGTATAATCTTGACAGAAAGATGCACCCAACTTTTATCTGCCCCTCTACCCAGAAGAACATTTCTGTACTGGCATTGGATGCATGTTTGTCAGGGTGGTGGGGTCACATCCTCCTCATAACAGAGAGCTGTGAGCAGAGGTTGGAAATCGAGTTCTGATACCTACACACCAGTTCTTTCATGCACTTAGGAAATACAGAGGGTGAGGGTGCTGTGTTTTGGCTCAGCAGGAGAATGTGGCATTTCTCTTAGAACCTGTCCGTGGTCATCTTCCACTGGTGAAAGGGAAAAGGGAAGGAGTGTAATGCTCATACACGTGCTTACTGTGGGATTTTGAAACATTTGCAGTGTTTCCTTTACACTGGCTTTAGGAGAAAACTTCCCATGCCATCAGCTAAATCCTCATCTTTTGCTTGGTAGTGAAGGAAGAACATTATCAGTAGGTCACCACTTCTCAGCTTAAAAAACCACAAAGCAAAACCTAAAAAATCCCAGCATGTGTTATAAATATCGTTGGACTACAAGTTGGGTGGCTGGCTTAAGAATACTGAAAAGCATTATTAGCAAATTATAATGTCAGTGACCAAGCTTGCTGACTGTTAAATGTGTTGCAAATACAGTGTATTTTGGAATAGTTTAATTTGGCTACAGTACAGAGCTTCTATATTTTTAAAACTTAACCTAATTTTCTTTATTGCTGTGGGAGAAGTATTTTGCTGGAATCAGAGGTAGCAGAAGGACACAGAGGCAAATGTTATATTTACCTTATGCCTGAAAGTTAATTTTCCTTGATCCTCAGTGCCCTTTCAAATTACCAGGATACTGCTCCTTCACGGGAATGAGAATGGGGGCCTGCTTTTCCCTCATTCTCGTTCATTTAATCATTTTAATCATTTTAATATTCTTACATGAGTCTTTATGTATCTTACTTTTTTCATTGTTAAGGAATACATTTAGTGCACGCATCATGTGACACTTGTGACAAATACAAATCTGTGACCAAACCAGAGGGTCAGCAAAGATCAGGATTGTTCTTTATCACCAGTTACAAAGACATTTATGTAACTCCTGGAGGGGGTATTATTGCATGGCCATCAACCATCTTCTTTTCTTAATGACCCTCATGTATTTCTTCAAGATTAATATCATAAAACTGACAGATTATTGTTTTCCCTGTTCTCTGATATAATATTTCTTACAAGGTAAATTTCAAGTTTAATCTCAAAAACTGATACTTTGAAAAGTTGATTTTATTTAGTTGTGTCCTCATTTGACTTAGACAGATATTGGCAGATTTATTCTGTTTATGATGATAAATATCCCATCTAACTTTAACTTATTTGAACTCTATTCAAACTGTGCTTTTGGTCAGGATTCACATAATTTATATTCAGCAAATTCTGCATCTATGAGGGACTTTCAGATTGTGATTTAGAGAAGATTTGGCATTGAACTGTCTAGTATATAAACAATAGGCAGAAATTAAAATTCTCCGATGATTCTAGGACAGTTTTCTAAAAGTTAGTTTCCTGTATGATGAATACAGCTCCATTTTTAAGATTTCAGTTTCTTCATACTGGTTACCAAATACCCAAATTTTGTTGTATCCATGGAAGGGAACCACTAAGAAAAGTTCTGTAAATGTAGAACAAAACAAATAAAGGTTCAGGTATGATGGCCTTCAATTAAAAAATGACCCAGGAAAAAAAAAAAATACAACAAACTTGTGAGTTATGTCTTTAAAACTTCATAAATTTAAGTCAATTAATTTATGTAGCAATGAAAAGGTATAAAATTTCAATTCAGAACATCAGTTATCCTTGGGGGATGTCAGGCATCCCCCAGTCTGCTGATGTCCATCTGTTGTTTCCATAAAGTAAGCATTGAGCTAACTTAGTTTTGGCTACTCAGCTGTCAGGTGGCTTGCTAAAATTAGTTTCAGTGATCAGAAAAAAGGTGTGGGGATACTTGCAGTGCTCAGACATTGGGGAAAGGTGGTAGTACCAGAGCACAGGAGTAGACCAGCAGAATGAGGCACTTTAGGAAGGGGACAAAAAAGACAAAAGCAAAACATTCACTTCTCTTTTTAGGTCACAGACAGCTCAAGCTGGTGTTGTTAGAAATAAAAAAAAAAACAATTCCTTTCAGGTTTTTTAGAAAGGTCCAGAGCGGAATTTTGTGTTCACATGGAAATAGCAGCATGTGTGTTCATGAGTGGCCCTGGCTAGAAAGGGTTTTGCTCAGCTCACTGAGTTCCTTGGAATAGGAAGTAGACCAAGGATTTAAGGGAACCCTGCCCTCAACCAGTATTTTGTCCCAGTTTATTCTTTCCCTGATAAAATATACCACTTCTGATACACTTAAGTGTGAAGGCCTAAATTGGTCTCTGTGTGAACTTTGGGGCTAATAAAACTTCATTATGCAAGTTCTCAGGAAAGCAAACACATGAGCTTGGCCAAAGAAAATTGATTTTATATTTGAGCTGATATAGATGGAAAAGACACAGATGTTCTTTTTCTTTTTAGTTATTCTGTCCTAGAAAAGGGTTGCAGCCAATTTCTGAGATGTCTATCCTATATTAGGTAGAGTAATTGAAAAAAAAAAAAAACCAACTCTTCGTGTTGTTGTCCCCATTCAACTCTTGATGCAAGAAAAAAGATAATTCTTTTCTCAACAGCAGCACTTCTTAAAACCAAGCATATTTTTTACTTGCCTTGACTCTTCTAGACATAAGGTTTAATTGCTGGCATGCACAGTCATCAGTAAATTCCCTCCTATAGGCTGAGGTCAGAAAAGCTGCCTTGGCATTCTCTGATTCTTTTGTCTAGTGTGGCATTGCAGTCAGATGTATTGGTATACTCTTTCTTCATAAGGGGCAGTGAAGTAAATGTGGATAGATTTATGATAAATTAAGCCAAGCACTATTATTATTGTTGCTGTTGTTATCTAGAGACCATTATTTTTAAAAGCGGTGATT